TAAACTCAAGATTCCAGGGAGAAAACATGAAAACAAGAGGACCTACTAGTACCCAATCTGTAAGTCTACTACAAAGCAATAATCATTAATACTATTTGGAATTAAGAGTATATCAATGGAACAAGGTAGGTACATAAAATACCAAAGCAAACAAACATAGCACAGTATTTGGTTAATCCAAAGACCACAATTAATTAATCATTCGGTATTTATTAGGCACCTACTATATGCCTAGCCCTATGCTAAGCACTGAGGAAAGAAAGAAAAGTAAAAGACAGTCTCTGCTCTCAAGGAGTTCACAGTCTAATGGCAGAGATAACATGCAAACAACTATGTACAAATAAGATATATACAGGATAAATTGGAGATAATCAGCAGAGTGAAGGCATTAGCAATAAGGGGTCTTAGGAAATCAATCAACTAATAAACACTTATTAAGCACCTACTATGTGCCAGGCACTACGCTAAGCACTGGGAATACAAAAAGTCCCTGTCCTAAAGGAGCTTAAAATTTAATAGGGAAGACAACACACAAACAAATATATACAAAGCAAGCTATACACAAGACAGGAAATAATTAACAGAGGGAAGGCATTAGGAGTAAGAGGGGCTAGGAAAGGCATTTTGTATAAGATGAGATTTTAATTGGGACTTACAAAGAAAGCCAGGGAAGTCAGTAGGGAAAACTGAAGAGGTAGAACATTACAGGCACGGGGAAAAGTCAGAGGAAACGCCCAGACAGATGGAATATCTTGTTTGTGGAACAGCTCAGTGTCACTAGAATGAAGAGATGAAGAGTGTATGGCAGATAATAAGGTGTAAGAAGACTAGAAAGGTAGGAGGAAGCTAAGTTATTAAGGGCTTTGAATATCTAGCAGAGGATTTATATTTGATTCGGGCAGTGATAGGGAGCCACTGAAGTTTCTTGAGTCTGTGTGTGTGTGTGTGTGTGTGTGTGTGTGTGTGTGTGTGAGAGAGAGAGAGAGAGAGAGAGAGAGAGAGAGAGAGAGAGAGAGAGAGACAGAGAGAGAGAGAGAGACATGGTTGGACCTGTTCTTTAGGAAAATCACTTTGGTGGTTGAATGGAGGATGGATCAGTGCGAGGAGAGATTTGAGGCAGGCAGACTCATCAGCTGATTACTGCAATGGTCCAGGTATTAGGTGATGAGGGCTTGTACCAGAATGGTGGCAGTGTCAGAGGAGAACAGGGGACTTATTTCAGAGATGTTCCAAAGGTGAAATCCACAGGCCTTAGCCACATCTTGGATATCGGGGTAGGGTAAGAGATATAAGGAACCTAGGATGACTTCTAGGTTTTGATCTGAGCAAATGGGGGATGGCGTTGCTCTCTACAGTAATATGGAAAGTAGGAGGCAGAGGGTTTAGGAGGAAAGATAATGAGTTCTGTTTTAGATACATTGAGTTTAAGATGTCTACTGGACATCTAGTTTGAGATGTCTGAAAGGCAGGTAGAGAAGAAGGAGATTGGAGACCAGCAGAGAGTTTGGGGCAGGAAAGGTAGATACGAGAATCAGCTGCATAGAAATGGTAATTAAATCTATGGGAACTGATAAGACCACCAAGTGAGTACTATAGAAGGAGATGAGAAGATGGTCCAGGACAGAACCTTGAAGGACATTAGACAGAGGGTGTGATATTGATGAGGGTCCAGCAAAGGAGACCTAGGAAAATCAGATAGTAAGAGGAGAGCCAGGAGAGGGTAGCAATTAGGCAAGAAAAGGGTACAGGAGGAGATGGAAGTTGAATCTGCATAGCAGGAGAAAGAAGTCCTGTTCCCCAACAACTTTCCTCTTTCTTTTCCTCTTCCACAACTTTCCTCTTTCTTTTCCTCTTCCCTCAAAGGTCAGGCACAGCAGGAGATGGAAGGCTTGTGGTCAAAGGGTAGGGTTTCCATATCCCAGTTGGGAGATTGGGAAGACTGTAAGCCAGGAGCTGAACTCCTTGAGAAAGGGAAAATGACCTGACACTTTCATAGAATCCTAGTGTTGGCTAAGACTTTAGAGGTCACCTGGCCCAACTTGTACCAAAGTTGTCCTTGTTTGTACAACAAACCCAACCAATTACTACCCAGACTCTCCTTGGAGACTTCCAGTGAAAAAAATTCACCAGCCCATTCTACTTGCAGAAAGTTCTATCCGTCAGGAAATTTTTACTTCCATGTTTCTAGAATCTATCTCTTTGCAACTTCTACCTAACGTTTCTTTCTGTTCTATGAGACAGGAACCTAGTCTACAGCATACACGACAGCCCTTCAAATACTTCTTTCTCCTAAGTCTCTTTCTCAGGCTAAATGCTTTATGATAACTACAGCCATCTGTCAAGCAGAACACTATGCTTGGTGCTGGGGTGGGTGGTAGAAATAAAAGTTCAAATAACATGGTTCCTGCCCTAATGGAGCTTAATGTCCAATACTTTATGTAATTTTTTTTTCACTTCATCTTCACAACAGGTCTATGAGGTAGGCAAGACAAGTATCATCCTCACTTTACAGATGAAAGAACTGAGGCAAAGGGAAGTTATTTGTCCAAGGCTGTCCAAGGACAGAGAGAATCCAGGTCTTGTGATTCTGTGTTCTGTGCTTTTTTTCACTTCATCACATGCTGAGGCAGCAGAGGCTTAGCCCCTCCCTCAGTTTTCCATGGCCCCCAAAGACTCTATACCAGTGTTTTAACTCCGAGTGTTACTGTGGAGAGGACAGACTGAGTGTTTTCTTAAAAGAAATAATGATGGATAAGGTTTGGTTCAGTCCCAATTCAGAGGCACCCAATCTTATGTGGAAAACTCAAAACTCTTTGATTCTTTTTAGTCCTTCAGTTTAGTCCTTCAGCCAGTATGGCTTTTCAGTATTAGGCTCTGGAAGTGGGAAACCACACTTTCACTACAAAGCACAATCAGCAAGCAGCCACCCAGGGCTGCTGCTTAAGTTGCCCAAAGGTACAATGAATGAAGCCCATTCCTAGATTTTTCTCCCTAAACCTACCAGTAGGAGGACCAGGACTCCCTCAGAGGCCACGATGGGTCCCTGAAACAAAAAAATCCATCCTTGACCTTAGCACCATCATCACAATAGATAGAGTGGAAATTACAGATGTCACTTAACCTCTAAAAACCAGGCTATTATGGACATTGTTAACCTCGTAAAATAGGTCCAGTAATACGTGCACTATCTACCTGAGTTGTTGCAAGTAAAGTACTTTGTAAACCTTAAATCTATAGATCTATAGAAAAATTATAGAAAGTATGTGTTCAGCATTCAAAGCCCTTCACAACCTAACCCTCCATACCCTTCCAGTCTTCTTACACCTTACTCTCCAACACCTCACCTTTGATCCAGTGACACAGGCTGCCTGGCTATTCCATGAACAAGATGCTCCATCTCCTGGCTGTTCTCTTAGACTGTCCCCCATGCCTAGAATGCTCTCTCTTCACCACTCCAACGACTGAACTCCTTGGCTTCTTTGAAGTGCCACCTAAAATCCCATCTCCTACTGGAAGCCTTTTACAACCCCTCTTAATTTTCAGTGCCTTCTCCCTTTTAACTATTTCCTATTTATCCTGTATATTGCTTGCTTGGTATGTATTTGCATATTGTTCCCCTCATTAGATCGTGCCTTAAGGGCACGAACTCTTTTGCCTCTCTTTGCATCTCCAGTGGTCAGCACAGTGCCTGGCACACAGTAGGCACTTAATAAATGCTTCCTACCTTTACAGCAGATCACTTAGAAAGGCAACATAATGTAGTTGAAAGAGAATTAAATTTAGAGTCTTACAGGGGTGTGGCCATCAAGCCTGTTGCAGCTTCTTGGAGCCACAGGTGAGAGCTGGGTGACAGCTGGCCACCAAAGGGCTCAACAAGCCCTCACGCCAGAGGTGATGGTCCCCCTACCCCATCCACCTGTCACCTAGTTCTCACCTGTAGCTCCTGGAGGCTGTGGAATGCTCAGAGGCCACACCCTTGAAAAATCCTCTAGGCAGACCAGCTAAACCAGGTTGAGGGTAACAACAGGCCTCAAACCCAAGTACACAAAGACTCCCCCATCAGAATGGGCCGATGAAAACAATTTGTTCCAACTACCTTCATGAAGGGGACTGAAGCAGGTGCTGTGGAGTGCTTGTTGTTTGTCCTTCATTCTGGAAAATGACCATGACATCAGGAAGGTGATGCCATGACTTGCAAGTGAATTAGATTTTTAAGTGAGAGAGGGCTGTGCAGTCACCAGCCTCACTTCTCCTCCAGAGCCATCTGGGTCCAGTGGCAAGATATCGATCAGGAGGACTAGAGATGGCTCCCTGTGGAGTGCTTAGGGCTTGGTCAGCCATTGAAGACAGCAGTCATCCACTGCATCCCAGGCCATCTCGTGTCATCTTGACTTCTGTCTTGCCACTGGACTTACATGACTGGATGAGGGAGTGAGGCTGACAACTTTGTGAAATTCTGCTTCACTTAAATCCAATGCACGATCACCCATGACGTCTTTGGTCCTCTTCAAAAAAAAAAAAAGACCACCACCAAAAACAACAACTGAGAGAATGAATAGGAGACTGGAAACAGAGAGACCTGGGTCTTAGTCCCAGGTGTCATTAACTAGTTGTATGAGCTTGATCAAGTCACTTTGTCTGGGTCTCAGTCTCTCCATCTTGCAAAATGATCCAGTGGGCTTTGGAGATCCTGCAGAACCTACTTTCGAAAATCCATGAATAGAGTCAGAACAATCTTCAGAGAGGAGGTGGGCCTCGAACTGGGGTCCTCCCCTTGCACTGTGGGATGAGTTCGGTGCATTCTGGACGGCAGACACACATCTGGCACAGAAGCCCAGCACCGTACCCTCTGCTCATCTCACCCTGGTAGCAACAGCTGCAAATCCACCCCCATGTGACTTCCTGCTTTCCCTCCCTCTACCTCTTCCCATGCCAAGCACGAGGAAAACCTACCGAGTCGTGAGTGAAGTCCCGTCGAGGAGGCAGCGCGCAGGCGCGCGGCACGTAGCGGGCCGGCAGTCGGTTCTTTCCCAGCCTCCTTTCCTTCCCCCCCCAACCCCTCCACCTCCCCACCTCCTTCCCGGTCGGGCCGGATGGTTTCCCGGCCTGCCCCGCGCAGGCGTTGACGTCCGCACAGCTTCGTCCCCGCTGCCGCTGCCGCCATTGGAGTCGGCGCTTCCTCAGTCCATTCCCATCTTGAGCTCCGAGTCGCTGCCTCCTCAGCCTTTCCTCTTCCTCGTCCTCCTTTGCTGTTTTGCCCCAGCTCCGGGAGCCTGCTGCCGCGAGGGAGAAGCTGCCCGGGCGGAGGGTGGGTGGGAGGGTGGGACAGGGTGGGGGGTCAGTGGGCAGGCGGGCGGTAAGGAGCGGGAAGTGACAGGGCCCCCCACCCCACCCCACCCCGGCCGGAGACCGAGCCCCGGCGGGCGCAGTCCTCGGCGCCGCGCTGCCCTTCGCTGCTCCGCGCAGGACCCGGCCCGACTCGACCCGACCCTCGGCGCCCCCGCCTCCTGCACCCGGGGACAGCCCGACGCCTCCCTTCTCCCCCTCCCCTCCCTTCCCCCTCCCCCTCCCACCCCCTGGGCCTGGTTCATGAATTATGTCGGCCACCAGCGTAGACCCTCAGGTAAGTCCCTGGTGTTGGGGGGGAGGCTGGGGTTACCTCGGGGGGTCCCCGCCCCGGGAGTGCTTATTGGGGGAGGGGGGAGGGAGAACTCCTGCCTGTTCCCCCTCCTTTCCGCTGCTCATTCATCACCCCCCCCGCCCCCCCTTCCGCGCAGTCTGGACTGCTTTTCTGAGATCTTCCTGCCATTCCTTTTCTCCCCGCCTTCGATAATTCCCAGTCCTCTCCGGTTATAGAGAAGCTTTAAAAAAGCCGGGGGCGGGGGAAGAGAAGAAATTATGTCTCTGACCTGGAAGGTTAGAGAAATTTCCCCACACAGCATGTAAACTAAATATAGGTTTGGATTAATAATTGCGACGGGGAGTGAATACAGAACTTTCCATTGTTAAACAAAACAAAAACACTCTCTTAAACGAGACACTTAAACTTATCTTCCTGGACTTAAATGGATCCCTCCACGAGTAACTTTTTTTCCTCCTTTCTTTGGCTTTTTTTGTGTTTGGTCTCCTCGGCTGTGGCATTACAGAGAACAAAAGGACAAGATAATAAAGGTAAGGAAAGTTCTGGGAATTTGCATTTGATTGTATAATAGTATATGACGAAGGAGGAGCTCTTTCTTTGAAAATGATTCATGTTTGCAGTAATGACCATATGGAAACCACCTAGTGAGCTACCAAAGAAACTAAAGGTTTTTTTCTCTTTAGATTTTTAAAAGACACTTTGGGTTACATGCAGGATAACATTGTTAACTTGTTGAAGAAAATAAATTTTCAAACATAATCCCATGAAAGGCATTCTGGTATACAGGAAAGCACAAGCCTGAAAGTCACAAGGAGGTGGCTTTTCATCACAGCTTTTTAACTGTGTGACCTTGGGCAAGTCATCAGATTAGGCTTCATTTGCCTCATTAGTAAAGAGTAGGGTTTAGACCAACACTAAGGTTTAAATTTCTCTGATTCTGTGCTTTTCCCTATATTCTTCTTTTATGGTAAGAAGTGTGAGGGAGTTGCCAGACTGAATCATCACAAAATTGAATGGTTTTAAATAAATATCCCAGGTCTTTGTTACCTAGTTCTAAGATGCTTTCTGTAGAATTGTCATCTGAAGAGTCACTGCACTGATTTAATATGTGCTTCTCTGGGAAGGAAGTTTTAATTCTCTTTTATGGTCTCACATCTTTTGGAATAGTTGAAATTTTGTTTTTTAAAAGTTATAAAACAAATAATCAGAAGTCTTCATGGTTTTCCAGAAGACTGTTTTTACTTTGTTATGTTGTGCTGATGTCCTTAATTGCATTGTATATTCATTTTTCCAGGTCATAGTCATAAATGGGGTTGGAACTCAATTATGTGACTTCCAGAATTTTTTGTCATGTAATTATAGTCATTTGTCTCAATTAGATATGCTTTATAAATTTTGTATGTTTTCCTGAAATAAATTTTCTTTGGTGTCCTTAGTTTGGGGTGAAATTTGAGTCCTATTTATCACAAATTGAGCCTAGATTCTATTTATTAGAAGGTAGTCTATGTGAGCATGTGTGTGCATTTATTAATTAAATACTATGTGCCATCTTGGGGTGGGGGTGGATTAGTCTGGGAAAGGCCTTCTGCAGAAGGTGATTTTTGGGTGGGTGATTGAAAGAAGTCAAGGATTCTAAGAAGTGGAGATGCAGAAGAGCATTCCAAGGATAGGAAACAGTTGGTAGAAAGGCTCGGAGATGGGAAATGGAGCTTAGTGTAGGAGGAACTGAAAGTAGATCAATATAGCTGGACCACATTCTTAATCATTTATATACATCCTATATATTTATTTCTAGACTTCCCAAAATTTATAAAAATACAATATCTAAGGTTATTGAAAGTTCTGTACTGTTATTTACAGTACTATTAATGGTTATTTCTATTTTTACATATTGGAAACCATATAATTTTTCATAGAAATTGGTGGGGAAAGGAACTTGACCTTTTTTAGTTTGCAAGTGTTAAAGTGATTGTTGATGAACTTTTAAAGTATAATATTTTGCAACTTCTTACTCTAGTACAAAATGGTTCGTTGCATCAGAAGGATACAGTGCATGACAATGACTTTGAACCCTACCTTTCTGGACAGTCAAATCAGGTTAGTATGTTGTTAATGTGTTCTTTAATAATTTGTTTGCATTGAAAATTTTTTGTTGTATGTTTTGGGGCCGTTTTAAAAAAAATCCCCAAAGAATAAATAAAACAGTGTAGTTTGAACTGAAAGAAACCCTAAAAAAGCTTTAAATCAGAGGGCTGACTAGCCTTTTGACTCTTAAAATATATTTCTATATTACATGTGGATCACAAATGCAATGAAGATGAGAGTCTTTATTTCAAGCAGTAGCATGGTATAGTGGATTAGAGTGCTGGATTTGGAGTCAGGAAGACCCTGATTCAAGTGTCATCTTTGACACTTATCTGAAAGACATTAGATAAATCACTTAACTTCTCTAGGCCCTGGTTTCCTCCTCAGTAAAGTGGGGGTGGGGTGGGGGGGTGGACTAGTTTGTTTCTAAGGTCCCTTCCATCTCTGAAGTCCTGTGGTTTTTTTCTGGTAGAACTGCCTCCTATGGAAGGATGGGATAGAATAGATAAAAGAGTCTGCCTGTGGCTTTGAGAATTGTCATTTAATATGGTGTCTTTAGCAAGTCTTTGGCCATTGTAGCAAGGATACCTTCAAAAGCTTCCAGAGCGCTGGGTTTGAGTTACACGTCTTGGACTTAAATCTTGCCTCTGCTGCTTCATCCTATATAACCTTGGGCAAGTCACTTAGTATCTCTAGCTCTTGCTTTCTCCATCTGTAAAATGAAAGATTTAGACGAAATGATCTCTGAGGTCCTTTGCAACCCTAAAAAACAATGAAAAAGTTGTGTTTTCTTAGTTTTAAACATGGAACATAACTTACTTTGTAAGAATGCTCCTCCCCCCGCCCACATACTTTGACCTTCCACAGAGCACCCACTTCTGATGACTTTTTTTCCTGGCTGTCTTAATACTGGCTCACTGCCAGGTGTTAAGTCAGGGACTAAGCTATTAATAGCCCCAGTAGGCTGACAAGCCCAGTAGAGATGAGCACAGGCCATCCAGAATTCCTCTGCTGCTTCTTGGTTAGTCTGATTCTCCATTAGAGCTAACCAGACTCGGAATAATCCAGCCTACTGCCTCTAGTTAGCAGTGCCTTGCCCTGGACTTGAGTAACAGAGATGACCCCAGCTCAAGTCAGTATCATAGATCATAGATTTGAAACAGGAAGAGGAGCCTCAGAAGTAATTTTGGTCCAACCCCCTCATTTTATGATGAGAAAACTGAAGCCCAGGTAAGTTAAGTGATTTTCCCAAGGTCATATAATAGTAAGTGGTAGACCTGGGTTCTGTCCACTCTGTAGATCCAGCATTCTTTCCTTTTCACCATCTTCCCTCAGGTCAGTGACAAAAGATTCAATTTTCTTTAGCTTCAGGTTCTTTTCAGAGACTTTGCAATGAAACTGTTTCTTTGTCCATCATAATTATATTTTACTCTTAGTTTTGGATTTCTCTATATACCACTATGTTTGTCTCTCTCTTGGGCACTGAACTTATCCTTAGTTATTTTGCATATATCTAATATTTCCAATTACTTCCAATTTCCAATACTTCCAATCATAAGTTCATTGAGGGCAAAGCCTGTTTTTTGTGTCATGTGTGCATTCTGAGCACCTAGCACAGTGCTTTGCACATGATAAGTTCTTCACAAATGTTTGAACAGTTGAATATTTATAGGTATGCTGAATTTAGGGGAAAAAAAAAGTTTGTTAAAACTAACAACTGGCTATTTCAAAAGTTGGAATAAGCTACCTTGGCCACAATTCTATATTGGTTCTGAGGTAATGTAGGAAAAAAGTACATACCATTGGCCATTAACATGACAATTTTGATTAATTTATATGAAATTTTAAAATTCTTAGTGAGATAGAGTAAAACTAATAATTGATTACAAAACATTTTCCAAATACCCAACTTGACGTGGAAGTCATATTTAGAAATGTCGTTGGCTGCATGGAGGATGCTAGATTCTTGATGCTTTTAGAATTATAGAATATTACAGTGACAATTCATATTTCTATAGTACTTTCAGGTTTACCAAGCCATCTCCTTACTACAACTCTTTGAGGTAGGCAGTGTTCTTTTTATTGATCTTGATTTTATAGATGAAGCAACAGGGTCAAAGAGGTGAAGGGACTTGCCCATGGTTACATAGCTAGTAAGTATTATATCTAGGGTACAAATCCAGGGCTCTTTTTACTGCTGATGAGATGGTGGAGGTAATGCTTATTTGCAATCCTTATACATCAGTGTAAGCTATTCGTGTTGTCATTATACACCAGTCTAAGAACTGGCTGGGATCTCAAAGATCATCTGACTTACTCATCTACCAGTACCCCCATCCACCAATTTTTTTAGAGGATGAAGGAAGTTGTGGCTGAGAGGTTAATTTCCTTGCCCAAAACTACAGAGTTGGAACCTTTTATCTTTAAAAAAAAATTGATTTTATATCTAAATCATATGTGGTTTCAATTCTATTTAAAATCTCCTTAAATTATTGTTATAATTGTGAGTTATTTGGGATACTGCTCTTTTGTTTTTGGATTCTAACTTTTCTGGACTAGGTCATTACTACTTTTAAAGAGTTTTCTTCTTTCAAACAATCCTGAATTTTCAAGCTTATTTTCAAGATAAAGTAGTGATTCTGTCTGATCATTGAAGTGAGACCCCTTTGGTTAATAAAGAACAGACAATAATTTTGCCAATCTGGATATTTCCAGATGCCTTGATAGTATTCTAGGTATCTAGATATTGTTGGTAATATCCAGATTAGATCTACTAATGTTTACTATAAAACCTGAACAGTTTGGGCAAAATAACAAAGAATGCCTTTGTAAATTTTATAGAACATTATGCACTTTTAGACACAAGTCTCTTTTTGCAAATTTCTCATTTTGTTCGAAGTTAAGTTGAATTGGAATGGAATAAAATAAGGCATTCATCATTTACAAAATGGTGTTCTATGAACTTAAAATCTTTAGTTTTGAAGATTCTGTCCTGTCTGTTCTTTCAGTGAATTGTATAGTGCAATAAACTAGTAATAGCAAAATCTTGGCTGTCCTGAACTTCAGAGAGTTATGGATAGCCAATTTTTCTATGTATGCCTGAGGGCTTACCCCTTTAAGGATCCAGACATTAAAAAGTTTTGAAAAGTCTTTCTATATAATACAATGTTTGTCAAATGCTTACTATATGTGAGCCATATAAGAGAGACAGTTTAGTATAAGGGATAGAGAGCTGGTCTTCGAATCAAGAAGACATGGGTTCCAGTCTTGTCTCTGGCTGTGTCGTCTTGGGCAAGTCAATTGACCTCTCATTATGCCAGGAAACTTTTTAAGGCAATAAATTGCAAAACAGGTACCAGTCTGTATTGGTGGAGGAAGTTCTTCGTCTGGAGCTCCCTACACTATTGAAAGCATAGATCTAGTTTTTAAAAAATGAATAAGATAACTGTGCTGGTGTAAACTGTATTACATGTATTCCTGCCTTCTTAGGGTATGACTTAACACAAGCATTTTCTTGGTGCTGGGATGGAGGTGGAATATAATTATGAATGTTAGTTAACTATATTGTTCCGTAGTATCAATCAATAAACATTTATTAAGTGCTTACTATGTGCCAGGCATTGTACTAAGCTTTGGAGATACAAAAAGAGTAAAAAGACAGCCCCTGTCCTTAGGGGGCTCACCATCTAATGGGAGAAATAACGTGTAAGCAAATATATACAAGATAAATAGGAAATAACAGGGAAGACACTAGAATTAAGAGGAGTTGGTAAAGGTTTCCTTTAGAAGGTGGGATTTTAGTGGGACTTAAAAGCAGCCAGGGAAGTCAGGAGATGTTTAGGAAGGAGAGTATTGGGGGGGGCAGGGGGAAACAATCATCGAAAATGCCTGGAGCAGAGAGACATAGTGTCTTGTTTGTGAAATAGCAAAGTGATCCAGTGTGACTGGATCAGAGTGATGGGGAATAAGGACTAAGAAATCTGGAAAGGTAAGAGGGGGTTAGGTCATAAAGGGCTTTGAATGCCAAACAGCATTCTGTATTTGCTCTGGAGAGAAAAGCAAGCCACTGGAATTTATTGAAGGGTGGGGATGACGTGGTCAGAATTGTACTTTAGGAAATCGCTTTGGTGGCTGAATGGAGGGGTGAAGTGGAGTAGGGAGAGACTTGCTTATCAGCAGGCTACTACAGTAGTCTAGGCATGAGGTAATGAGAACTTTCACAGGAGTGGTGTTGGTGTTAGAGTAGAGATGGGGGCTTATTCAGGAGGTATTGCAAAGGTGAAATTGGCAGTCCTCTGTAGCAGCTAAGATACCGGAGTGCAAGGTAGTGAAGAATACAGCATGACTCTTTGTTGTGAGCCTAAGGACTAGGAGGATGGTGTTGCCCTCTTTGGTAATAGGGAAATCGGGGGATGGGGTGAGGGCTTTGGAGGAAAGATAATGAGTTTTACTTTGGACGTGTTGAGTTTAAGAGGTGTATTGGACATCCAGTTAGAGATATCTGAAAGACAGTTGGAGATGTTTGATTGGAGGTTAATAGATGGGTTGGCACAGTTAAATACCATGACATCTATAAGTACTTTTGAGTTGCATAGGGGTGAATGGCCCAAGATTGCTTTTTTTTTTCCAATTTATCCTGCCTTTCAGCTTTTCTTGTCTCTTGTTTTGCTGTCAGTTATCACTTCTTGCTATCAGTGGGCTTCTCTGTTAGCTCTTAGTGTGTAAATAAGAGGAAATAGATGTTGTCTGTAGTGAAGGCTTTTTGTATGTAGAGTAGGTTATAGAACATGAACTTTGTAACATTTATTTTAGCTGTGCAAAAGCCTCTTTTTCCTTTAGTGGTTCTTATTTATATTCTAAAAAGATAAGGTACTAGGATCATAGGATTTAGAGCTGGAAGGAACTTTATGGATCACGTAGTACAAATGTCTCTCAACCCCTCCACCCCCATGTTAGAGATGATGATGTTGAGGCCCAGAGAGGGGAAATGAGTCAATCAAGGTCATATAGGTAGTAAGTAGTTGAACTGGGAACTCTAAATACTTTCCACATCTAATGAATGTTCTTTACAGTACACCATGATTTCACTCCTACTTTATTGCTCATTAGCTCTGGGACCCTGGGCAAATCACAATCACTTCATTTCCTCATCTTTAAAATGAAAATGATAGTTCAGTACCTGTTTCACAGAGTTTATGAAAAAGGATCTTTGCACACCTTATAATGCTATATAAATGTGAGCTGCTCTTTTTGTGCAATTTAGTACTATTTAAGCAATATATAAAGGTTTAGGTCTTGTTCAGAGTTTCATTATCTAATATTGAAAACTTTATAACCTTGCAAGAAGCAACATGGTTTTAGGTATTGTGAATTGGGAATGGCACATACATGGCCATCAATGATAAGTGATTAACACTGAGTTTGTTTTGTTATATAAGCAGTATTGAGAGGTTGCATCCTACCAATAGATGTCTGGTCAAATGATTTGGTTTAGATTACTTTCTGAAATGGTACAAGTATATATATTGCCAAATTTTAAAACATTTAACTACAAGAAAAACTCTTACCATATCTAAGGATTTGGTCTTTTCTGAATTCTCAGAATTTGATAGCTTTTCTAGTTCCAGAACTGGATTAAAATCTGCTTTCAGTGGATTTGCATTGGATGCAAATCTACTTTCAGTAATTTTTGGAATTCAAATACTCAGAAGAATTGTGATCAGGATAGAGACTAGACTTGTGTTTTTATTTGTATGGTAAACTCCCAGGGGAGGAAATGCCTTCTATCCTTCTAATGCAGGGTGACACCTTCTATGCATATTTTGGTCTTGAACAGTTGCCTAGAACATTGAAAGATATAATGACTTGCCCAGGGTCACATAGCCAGCATATATCAGAGGCAAGACTTAAACCTAGCTCTTGTTAGCTTTGAAGTTAGCTGTCTATTCACCGTGAGATACTGCCTTTCATCATATAGATACAGAAAGGAATAGAACTAAATTTTATTTTCTTTCTTAGAAAAGGTCCCATTAAATGCCATTACTATTTTTCAGTTCTGTCTGACTCTTTGTGACCTCATTTGGGGTTTTCTGGGCAAAGATGCTAGAGTGGTTTGCCATTTCCTTCCGCAGCTCATTTTACAGATTAGGCAAATAGGGTTAAGTAACTTGCCTGAGTTCATACCTTGAGGGTCTGAGACCAAATTTGAACTCAGGAAGATGAATCTTCCTGACTGGAGGCCTGGCACTCTATCCACTTCACCACCTAATTACTTCCATAACTATTTAGCCAGGATTTCTAGCTTAGTTATTTAGAACAGGCTCTCAGTTTTTTTCTACCTTAGAAGTTCAAGTCCATTGAACTTCTGAAGAAAATCACCAGATGAAACAACCATACAAGTGACTAGTGGGTCATGTGTTTTTAGGATCATAGCTCTAGAGCTGGAAAGGACTTCAGAGATTTTATCTATTCCAAACTCTATTCCTCTCCTTGTCCCTCACCCTACCCCCCATTTTACATATAAAGAAACCAAGGCTTAGAGCGATTAAGTGACAGGTGGTAAGTAGAAAAGGTTTCTTATGTCTAATATTTGAGTAAGAAGAAAATTCATATTTTTATTAGAAGTCTTTTATCTTTATTTTAATTTTTCACATCTTAAAAAGATCTCTTCAAGAATGGCTTTCGTAATTAAGTATAAAGCAATCAGTTGAGCAATAAAAGAGATTGAGGAGGAAAGAAGTAGTTTTGTAGAAGTTAAGTAGTGTAGGCTGTTTAAAAATCATAGGATTTAGTTGTGGATGGGATGTTAATGACCATTTAGTACTAGACTATACAACTAGTATAACCCCTTCATTTTAGACACTTCTGAGACTCAAAGAAGGGAAGTGATTTGCCTAAAGTCACAAAGGTAGTAAGTGGCAGAACCAGGATTTGAATCCAGGCCCTCTGACTGTAAATCAAGAGTTATTTCCACCACATAACTGCAGACTGTGTGTGGTCCATCTGTTACTCGGCTGGACTAGGCTGATTAGGAGCTAGCATTGTCAAATATTTGTATAGTGCT